CTTTTCTTTACAATAAGGCTTTCAAATAAGTCATGGCTGTACGGCAGTGAAGCATTGGTGTTGAGCACTGATGTCATGCTGTCGTTGATGATGATAACCAAAAAATTCAGAAAAATTTGCGAGTTTGAATTAACTCGAGATTCGTGCAGCGTTTGCTATTGATGTTCAATTTAGTTAAGAGGTTCATTGTTCATAGATCTTCTTCTATGGGATGAAAGGAAGGATTGAAACCTTGAAACTGTCTTACTATTCAGCGGTAAACAAGGTAGACAACCACTGAGAATATCGGGAACGGGCTCAGTGGCATATGAGAGGATGTGATTTTCTTTAGTGAGAACATCCACAGGGCTGCCTAAAATAATTCTCTCGTGCGAGGAAATTTCCTACAGGGGGGTTCAGTATTCTTGTCCACGAGTAAACCAGAAACTTTCTCACTAGTGCACCCGGAGTTGGATGTCACAGTCATTGTGGTGTGAACGGCTTGGTAGGTCGTTTGAGCCTAATAGAATTCCGTTAGGCTGAGACACACCATACGAACAGTGGACAACTTGTCCATTTAAATGTTGGCCACCAGTCGCTGTGTTGTGGCCGTGGGGGTGGAAATCGCTAAGCATCCCAGCGTGAATAATATAGAAGACGTAGAACTGGAAAGCGTGCAGAGGGCGGTTCTGGATCAACCGAGATGACACGAGGCGGTATGCAGTTATCAGTGAAATGGTCTGAGCCTAAAAGCACGAAATTCGAGCAGTATTATCCACCAAAACACCCACCCACCCCCCAATGCCAAACCAATTGTCCCGACAAACCTCAACGCACACAGATCAACAAAATCTGTGAACAACACCCAAGGGGAATATTCTATTCAGGTGTCCCAAATCGAAAAAATAAGGCCCCAAAATCCTGATCCAACTTGATGACAAACTCCCTTTACCAATCGATCGTGATAGTCATGCTCATCAACAAACAAACAGGAACTTCAGACCGACACCCAGGGATGGTCAAGTCGGCTAGTCATAGGAAATCTCACGGATTGATTCTGACTGTTTTAAAATCCAATCAACCTGGGAGCTTGCTCACTTGGCCTGACGGAGCTTTTGTATCTGAAGCAAAACGTTACCCGGTAATAAATCCACCAATTGTTTACCAAATCTGTCTGAAACAATGACTGCTCAATCGGTCCCAAACATCTTCCAGTTGATTGGAAACCTGATTAATTCTCCCGTACGGTTAAGTGGATGTAGCCTATATGCAAAGTATACTATGCCACTACATAATTGAGTAAGGTCAAACTCAAGCTACTCGCTGATCGCCACTCGCTACTGTGCTGATCTGGTGGAAACACCATATCAGTAATACTGAAGCCAGATGGTCGTCTGGAATGGGGTCAAAATGGTTCATTGATTAGAGCGCGAATTTACTGACCGTAAGGTCCGTGTTTCGAACCCAAACTCTGCCTCTCGACTTCCCCTGTCTGGACTTGGGCAACTTGGTAGTACATCATCATCATCATCAACGACAGCATGACATCAGTGTTCAACACCAATGCTTCACTGCCGTACAACCATGACTTATTTGAAAGCCTTATTGTAAAGAAAAGAATAAAGGTGGATGGGGGTGGGACTTAGTGCTAGCTTAACACAATCATTCCGAGGTGCCTACACCTCCAGACATTCACTCAGGCAATATGGATAGAAACTGACAACAGGAACGCCACTGACATCGGTTGGCAGCCATATCTTGTAGTGTATCCAACCAGGCACAGTGAGGATCACGCGGTCCCCATCCTGGAAGGCGGGCAGTCAGGCACCGAAAGGGTGCCACAGCTAAACGATTTTTTCTGCAGCGTTCATTCTCCTTTCATAGACCAGCTCGCCACACTCCACAGGTCACGGCGGTTAGGCCATGTACTTCGTATGCCCGAGGAGCGTTTGCCCTCGTAGAGTCCTTTTCGCACAGCCTTGCGTCAAATACAGACGATCCAGAGGCGGTCAGTCCACAGCTTGGCAAAGAAACATAGGAGTCCTTACCAGTCAACTGAGTCGTGTTGGTAACTGTCATCTCCCGGGATGGGGACCGCGGGACGAGACTAACTAATGGTGAGCAGCCCTGACAGATATAAGTGTCACTCAGCCAGTAGCGGTCCTGTATCAAAACGATCAACCCTGCTGGTAAGCTGTTACTTTCATTCATACTGGACAAACAGATACATTTGTCGTACACGAACAGCTTCCAAACCATGGTTTTCATTCACTTATTCTCCTTCTCTTCGGTGAACGAAGCTATGGTAGCTGGAACCAATGCATTTTAGAGGACGGTTTGCGGGCTGAATGACTGACTGACTGAAGGGATTGACGGATGTGCACTAGTTTTGATGGAGCAGATTCAAGCCTGAATGAATGTTTTTAAGTTGGCTGCGTCCAACCTCATGATAAGCCATGTATGTGATACTACAGAAGCCATGTCAAAAGAAAAAACACAGAGAGCAGCTGGTCACGTTGGTTGGGCAAGGTAATTTGGGTGGCAGGGAGCTGTTATCTACGCAGAGCGCTTTTCACCCTGTCCGATATCGGAGAGTAACGAGGTAACAATAGTTGGTGACTCTGCGAGACATGGTCCAGTCACGCAGCCATCAGCGGCCCTTCATCAGAACTACTGTCTTCAACGCGTAGCTCTTTCACCCCAAGATTAATCGGACGGGTGCAGTAATTGAAGAGGGAATTAACGATTATTGAAATGAACGGGTAGTCCCGCTCAGTGCCTATCTGTTGCAGTGCGTATACGAACTTATAGCGGTTGCAACCCGTGGCTTTGGAATACAGTTCACAACCAAGCTTTCCGCGAATCGTCCTGATTTTCAGTCAGTCATCCAGGCCACTCAGAGCGGTGTTCCCGTGTTGCCTCTTTTGATCAAGACAGATGTGCATGATAGTTTGGAAGCCATTCGGACCATTCTGTCCACTTGTCCGTCGGATGAATGCGTCCTTGGACAGTCAGGTGTCGGTCCGCTCACCGAATCCGAGGTGGAAACAGCGGAAGCATTGGACGGTGAGTGGTCAATGCAGTATGTCCTACTACCCTCCTTACTTCGTTCTATTGAATACCCAGGCACTCACCGGTTGCTAGAAAACTGATGTCATCATCATCATCAAAGACAGCAACATCGGTGTTGGCACTGATGCTTCACTGCCGTAAGAAAACTGATGAACAGGTACGGGAACAGAAGGGTGGGCGTTCACGTACGTTACTGTGTAGGATGTCTCTAACAATCCTGGTTTCATTGTCCCCGTATTATAGACAAACTGAAGTGACCGTGGTGTCGTACACTGTGCGCCAAAAAAGTGATGAGCTGAAAAGTATGCGCACCGTTGGACAACCCTGTATGTGCAGCGAATGTGTTACGTAGCTGATCTGTGAAATTTTGCGGCATCTTTTCACTCCGGGTTCCATTTTGCGTTGCTATGTACTTTATCGGGTTTCCACATCTCAACGGACCTCCCAAGTGGTTGATGTGGAATCTCACTGTGCCTTCTTTGGGACACTAACCCGTGTTTGGGGGCGAGATGGACCAAGTGGTTAAAGCACGAATTTACTGACCGGAAGGTCCGTGGTTCGAACTCGACTTCTCCTGTCTAGGCTTGGGCAACCTGGCAGTATCCCAGCACTCGTGCCTCCTTTGTGTGGCATGGCAGCTAAGCACCGAAAGGAAGCTACAGCTGGACGATTATTATTACAACCAAGTAACACATGAACCCTTAGAAATGGGACAGCAAGTTAGAACACCAACGCTTCAGAGTTGCACAAAAATGCCTTGTGTGGAAGCATTACTGTGAAGAAAAACGAGTGACAAGAAAGATATTTAGTTAAAACCCACTAAAAGCACTTTTAGGTGCCCACATCTACGAACAAATTCAAGCAGCCCGGATAGAAACCGGTAACAGAAGTGCCATAGGTATCAATAGGTGGCCATCATCATCATCGACAGCATGACATCAGTGTTCAACACCCTTCACTACTGAAGTGCCATAGGTATCAATAGGTGGCCATCATCATCATCGACAGCATGACATCAGTGTTCAACACCGATGCTTCACTACTGTACAAGGTGGCCATACTTTGCAGTACCTCCAGTCAAGCACAGGAACGACTACGTAGACCAATGAAAGGTGGGATCAAAAAGGCTAGTGATTACGATAGAGGCATGAATAGGATATCTCTTATGAACAAGCCAACCGGATTCAGGTGGTGAACCGTTTCGGGCTCTGAGTTGAGATCCAGCAGTCTCCAGATGACAGCATGAGCCAGCTTCCACCATCTTGACCTAAATGCCTGGTATCCGAACCGCGGTGGACTACCTGATACGCTGACTAGATTTGTGAAACCTGACAGAACCTCAAGCCGCATGCTCCTCTTGGATCATGTGAGGGCCATGCACGCCCCCTCCCCCCCCACCACCAAAAAACAAACGAACAAATGAACTACTTGTAGCGATTCATTGCGGTGCGAGCCCGTGCCAGGCCGTAAAGTATATCATTTAAAGGGCATCCACCTACACTGTGCAGTGTCTCCTACGAGATGCAACGATGAACAACCCCTAAATAGCCATAATTCATAACTAGAAATAACGTCATATAAGCCTTCGTGTAGCGTCACCATTCGAGCTGCCCCTTATAACACAAGCAGCAAAGAGAGTAAGAGAAAACATCACACTACCAACACCTCCTTTCTCGCATCGTTACACTCCTCACTTGCCTTATCTCACAAACATTATCTATACCATAGTATAAGCTGCTCAGACTAATCACCACATCCCACTTTCGCTATTCTTAGCAATGACATCTGGGTGTCTACCACCCCTTACAAACAGATAGCAATTTGCAAGTCCCCGAACCACCTCTAATTTTCCCGATAACTGCACGACTCAAAACGCGTGCACTCTGATATGACGCGATTTTACCCCACCCTGAGGGTATCCCTCAAAGAAGTATTTTAACTTATTATGGCATCCAAAACTGGATGGGGCAACCAGGGTATTCAAGCATTAACTGCAGAAACATCAGCCACCAATTTTGCATCGCGCGCCTCAAAAGGATGAAAATGCCCGTGTTGACCTGCAGTTAAGCGCAAAGTTACGAAGCCTGACAACTGTGCTCGGAGGATAGACCCTTCATCCCTGTTAGCAGTTAGAGCTCTTTGTTGCTGCGCCTTCCCCAAAATCCCCAGTTCGTCCGGATAGTGAAGGGTGGGAAGGTCCATTGGAACTCTTCTTCATTCTCGATTTACAGGACATTTTTCTACTGGCTCACATACCGGCTATGCAGTAATCATGCTGCATTGCACTGATTCGCCATTCACTTACGCGCACGGCTTCGCAAGTGAAACGGGTCATCCACAAAGAATGGGGAGCAAAGAAGCTGCCAGTGTTGACCTTGCTTCCACCATTCAAACAATTCAATGGAGAATAGGTACCAACGTGTTTTTCAATGCATTAAATATGCAACCCACTCGGGAAGCTTAGTCTCATGGGCCGCTGACCTATAATAACATAACTAAAATTAACATCCGGCTGTTAACACTAGACTAGTAACTGGCCCACAGCCATGCAGGTTGATTGTATTAAGCCGACTGATGTCAAAGACCAGTTATCAAGTCATTTACAACCCATAAAAATCCGCAACCAACTGCAGTGAAAAACCCGATATCCATACATTCAAACGGAATCGGACTCTTGCTTCCACTCCACAATTTAAGCACCAATCAGCGAAACATAGCATTCACTAGGGATATTATTAACAGTACGCGCCACCCCCAGGTGTTGCATCCCAGGGTAAAAACGTGCAACGAAGAGCCAATCAGCTGTTCGAATGCAGAAAAACAAAATAGGCGGGCGTAAGGTAATTTTATAACCTGCGTACTACATCCTGTACGGCAGTCTTCTGTCAGAGGTTGGATATGCGCTATTCTACATATGTGCTTGCGCTGACAGCTTCCAATCTTAGGATAGCTCACGCAGTTCAGATAGCGGGAAATTTGCTATTTGATCTGGCCTTGAGCACGCCCAACCACTGCTGTAGGAGACACCGCGAGTCAGCTACTGGATGCATGCGTTATCTTACATAAGGAAACCCGGGCAGAAAATGTCCCGTCTGTTAGTTCATCATTTGCCTGTAGGAAGAAGTTCCGTGCAATACCTATGTTTAGCTACCGATAAGCCTTAGCACGCTCCTTTTGTCGACAAACCCCTGAAATTTGGCTACCGAGCCCGTAAGACTGAAAGACCGAGAAATAGAACAAATGAAGACTCAGAGGTACAATTTTTGATACTGGGGAACAGGGCAATTGCTCAAGCCTCCGGACATGAAAGAAATAGGGGCAATCACTCCCTAGATTTTGTAGTGTCTGCAACCAGTTGTCACGTTTATTTACCATTTTTCCTGAACTTAAACTACGTTTTGTAACTGTTGTACACATTTTATCATGACGGTTGTTTTATTGTACCAATAATTACGTTAAAAATGAGGCAAAAACACAAGTTTCCGGCGCAACTTTCCGACTTCTTGCTGAATCAGTGGATTTGCGCTCCTTGAATTGTTNCTCCGTTGAATTGTTTGCTTACTGCTGAACCAGTGGGACAATATTTCTGTGTTTATGTGAAATGTTGAACGCCACGATATCTCCTTCTGACATTTTTTAGCTCTGAGTAACCTTCCTATCGTAAAATATACTAGTCACAAGCGAATCATTTGTAGGAAAATTTCTACAAGAAGATATTTCCTTCACAGCCGGTTACTGCATCGGATTCGGTGTAGTCGAGTACCGAATCCACGCACTCGTGAGTCCTTATCGGTTGCTTATCCTTTTCTTATTGTTATTTTGTTACCATTCTCGTTTATGTGATCCAATACGCTAATAAGATCCTAAGTCCGCTACAACTTTCCGTGCTTCTGTGGTGTTTTGTATCTTTATTTTGCTTCCATTATAACACTAAGTATTTTGTTATTTGCATAATTTTTTGTTTGAATACGAAGGACTACAAAAACGGCCAAATATACAATTTCACGCAAAATAAACGTGGTCATGGGCTTCCACTCTCTCCTCTGATATCGCTCGCGCTCACAGCGGTCATTCGCGAGTCTCATGTACTAACTCTGTTATCGAAACATTTCAGACTATCTTTGGAATCTGCTGTGTGGGAACTGTTCAGAAGCAGACCCACGGACAACCCTAATTGGACTCTTGTTTATTCGCTGACCTGGGCCAACGACGAACTATTCTGAATATAACAAATGCTAGTGAAGCTGTTCCATCTGACCTATCTATTACTGTATACGCAATCTGTTGTCATTATTTTTATTCATCTGCCACACACTCATGGTAAAGTAACTCATCAGGTAGCCAGACCACTACACTCCATCCAAATGTCAAGATTCAGAGCATCACTCGCTCGCAAATTTGTGGTAATAAAGTGCATTCAGGAGGCGTAGGCATGTTGTGGAAGTGACGACGACAGTATTTTGAGGAAAGCTGTTGCACGTGCTTACGACTAATAGCAAGGGAAAGCGCCAATGCCTTATCTTGAACATTTTTTAATCACACCGTCAGATGGGAATCTGAAGTAACATGCACCTAAAGCCTACTTGAGGGGCCAGTAACCAAGACTAAAATCCGCATAGAGACGTCTGTGGGTCAGCAGGCGTTGTTAAAAACTCACGTCGTATTCCGTGTACCACGCCATCCTTGCGCCTGTACTCGGAGCGCGTTCGGTGGATTCACGGATTCACGGATTGCTACACAGGATTGAGGCTTTTGCCCAAGTTTCCGGGGTCGGTTTTGTTCTTGTCGGTCAGCGGACTAAACTTTCCACCATAGGCCGCGATGAGACACTTGGTCAGTGCATTCCAGCGGCTCCCTTTCATCACTCCAGAGGACATATTGAAATCAGCGCGTTCAAGCGAGTGGGATAGTCTGTCATTTCTTCGAACCCAAGTGGCATCGTTCTAATTGTGCGGTAAGTGAGGCAGGAGGAACTTAGATATCTGGATCTGCTTCTCTATCCTTCCCAGCTACCGCCAAATGTGTTTGATCGCAACATGTTTTCAGACACTGCATCATGTAATCTAATTATGCAGCTTTGTCGCCAGTCTGATACTCGATGTTTGGCCCAAACGATATATATTTCCCGGATCCTGGAATCAAGGCCGTTTGTGAAGACAGTCCTAATACGAAGCGCTTCAGGCTTTGCGCGCGACAACTCATATAGGAAGGAAAGCGGACTCTGGATATCTTGGACCACTCTCCACTTTAACTTCTACACAAGAGCTATTGAAGTGTGCTATAAAAACTCAAAACCTCTCCCGAAGATCGATCTAAGGGTATTATCCAGGAGGGACGCTAAATGGGTCAGAACGCGAAACAAACATTTTCTCGGCTGAACGGTAACTTATACATAAATTTTGTCCAAACCTGTAGTGTCGTCGACATTTCTCCTCCAAAAAGCGCGCTGATCTAACTGATCGCGACTTTATGTTGCAGCTTCTATTCATCCGTACAGGACCTTTGGACCACCGGCAACAGTGGTGCTCGGGGTGAGAAACGCCTCGCTGAGATGGAGTGTCCAACACGCCACCGCTAATTTACTTAGCGGGCAATAAAAACGCACCCAAATCACAATCTCTGAGATGGATTTGGGTCAACTGAGCGGAAAAAACAGCAAGGTTCGGTGACAGATCAGCCACGAACTTTTACCCGGACCTC